AAATCTAAAACCAAAAAAAAAAAAGTTTTATGTTTTGTTCTTTGATTTTATCAAATTAATAAAAAAACCCATAAAAATAGTTTTTTGTTATTTTTTTAAGTGTTATTGTTTCTCATTTAAATAAAATAAAATTTTCATTTCCTTTTGATTTTCTATTTTAAAGAAAGAAAACAAAACTTCAAAAAAAATATTTTCGTTTTTTCCTTAATAATTTTCGTCCATAAAATCTTCAATAAAAAAAAATTCTCATTTATTTCGAAATTTAAAAGCAAAAAAAAGGATACAAAATTTAGTTTTAGTTTCGAGGACAAAACTTTTTGAAGAAGAAGAAGAAAATGATACAATATCAAAAAGTTAATCAAGGTAATCAAGAAATGGATTTATTATGAGAATCACATCCTCATAACTTAACAAAAAAATTAAAAGATTTCATTCAATGTGAAATGCTAAATTAGTGGAAGAAAATTATTATTTGATTTAGCTAATTTTATTTATTTTCTTTAAATGTAGATAATTTCATTTAATGTATTTTATTGTGTAAAGATCACATTGTAAGAGCTATAAGTAGCTCAATTGTTTCATTGTAAAGATATATAGAATTTTTGAAAAATAAAAGAGAGTTTTCTCACTTTGAAGCTTATGCTTTTTGTTTGCTTGTCTTTTCTATTGTGTGTGATTCCTTTAGAAAACAAGTGGGATCTCTGTCTTTATGTGCGATTCACATAGATATTGATTCGTGTTCTTATCACAAAGTCATTCCGCAACTTTGTGTGGCGAATTTCGATCCATTCAAGCCGTAAGTCTTGAAACCGTGTGACCATAAGCTTGGTGTGATTCCGAGTCTTATGTCAGGTTCTTAATATTGAGGATGCCACTCTACAGTTGCTCTGAAATTGTGAACAATAGATGAAACTGGTATAGGAAATTAGACTGCTTCTGACAATGTTCTCCTTACTTGTTGATCAACACTATCTTTCTCATTTCTGCTTAGTTCTAGTTTTGGTTGTGTTGGTCCAAGCGGTGTGGAAGCATATATGTAATCTTTGCGTTTTCCCCATATCACAAGGTATAGTCCTACACATATAACCTCTGCACCAAGAGCCCTGCCAAATAACAAGATCTTTTCATCAATTCCTTTCCATCTTTGATTATTTAACTTTGTACGTGCTTATGTGACTTACTTACCTTCCTAGGTACATCTGCTCAGCGAAGATGATGCTCGACATAATCGCTACTACAATCATACATAAAGGACTAAAAGCTGTTACAAACACAGGACCTCTAGTTTTCATCACAAGTCCTCCAATATAGTAACCAAGCGCTGAGCACACTATCCCCTGCATAAATTTTATGTTCCAAACGATTTAACTAATTAGGATAAACAGCATACCGGCTAAGTCATTGGTTTACTAAGGCATGTATGAATCTTACACTATAGGTGACTGTAAGAAGTTTGTTGTCCCAACCAATGGCCCATGCGCCAGGATTTCCTCTTTCCATCACTAATGCCACAACTGCTCCCTCTATTGTCCCGATTAGGCATATCCATGCGGTGAGTGAGAGCCCGGCCGGGTAAGTCTTCAACGTGATAGCCTGAAAAAAAAACATTGATTCATTGTCACAATCGATCAACAAATGTATTTATATATATACACATGAACACAAATACACAAAGATCGCCTTACTAGGAGAATCATGAAACATGCATAGCTAAAACAACCAATTGAGACCAAAACTGCGCCTTTAATGCAGCTACGAATATCAGTCCCGGTTGTGTTCTGTTCAGAGGTTCCTTTGCTCCAAAAGAGGTCTAGAGCTGGACCTTTGACAAGGGCCATGATCATGGTTCCTCCAAGGGAAGCCAATGTCCCAACCACCTTACTCGCGCTTCTGATACTTCGAAGCTTAACTTTTTCGAGCTTGAATATTAAGGCGAGGATGAAAGTGACTGCGGGTAGAGAGTTGTACAGGGCGGTTGCAAATGTAGCCGTCGTGTATTTCATCCCCAAATAGAATAAGTTTTGACCGATCACTGGTCTATTATATTTTACAAAATTACATGGACAAAATGAAAAAAAAAAAATTAGATTCAGATAAACGGAAAAAAAAAAGAAACGCAAGGGGTGTTT